TGCGGAAACAGACTGGAAACAAGCATAAACTGCATAAACTACATGCACGTTACTTCTCTCAAATAAATAAAATAGCAAGTAGAATGAGATAGAAATAGATGTTTGCAGGTTTATAGTGGTTCGGCTTGGGATAAGCCTACATCCACTCTTCCAGATTAACAGCCACTAATAAGACTAGAATTCACTAATGGCTATTGAGATGTTACAAATGTAGCTTGCACTGCTTCTACTCAAAGCTATTTCTACCTAAAGCTTGGTAGATCACACTACTAGGAATACACATACTACTACGGTACTTGTACACTTCTCAAAAGATTAATAATCACCGTATAACTCTTAGTAAGCCAAATCAATCGATCGCAAAGTGTATAAAATATTCTTGTAATTTTCATAGTTCGTCTCTATCTGTCTTGTTTTTCACATTGGCCTGCATTGGTCCTTTTTATGGACAACGATCCTCAAGTTGACCGTTTGACTGATCAATGTAGCCATTGTATTCCAATAAAATTATCAGAGATTTGATTGCCCATACGATTAGATCTTCCAGCAATCTTGCCATTTCTATTAATATAAACTCTGAGTTAGAAAATAATCATTGTCCAACGGTATAATGAACAATAGATTTGATTCTCTTTAGAGCAAATAAATCCGTAATTCCAGATTTGTGATTGGCTACCAAAATCCTTTGAATGCGTAATAACGATCAACGAATGTCCAGGTCTTCTTTATGTCAATTGTTCAGTAGCGATCTTCTAAGTTTGATCTAGCCAGTAGCTTCTACCAACTTTTCTTGGTTCTTCCCAGTAATCTAGTTAACAATTCTTGTGTTTATCAAACTCCATCGATTTTTCCCTAGCACGTATGTGAATTAAACTTCTACATATCCATTCACCTATTGATTTTTCAAGTCCTCACAAACTTCTCGTTCTCTTTGACTTGTTCACCCTGAAGGTCCTCCTAGTCTTTCAAGTTCTTTCACATAGCATCAAGGATAGATTCAATGGTGTTGAATCATCGATAGACATTTGGACAGAAACAACACTCGCATCTATCAAATAATGAATCGCACAAAATAGATTTGTCGTTATTAAAATCCTCATGGGTTTTCTCAACAAAGTCCACACACATACGCCATTTACCGTTGGACTTCTTAACCAGCACCAGATAAGTTGATCATCCAGGATACATGATGTCTCACACAAATCTTGCTTCAACCATTTGCTCGTTTCCTCCTTAATAGCCTAGTGATGTTGTAGCTCGAATGACCGGCTTTTCCATCTCACTGGCTTGTACTCTGGTGAGATGCTCAATCAATGATTCATGATCGATGGGTTAATTCCAGGCATATTCGATGGCTCCTAGGCTAACACATCCCTATTATTTTGGAACCAATCAGTAATATGTGCGGCCAAGGTCGAAGACAAGTTCATCCCAATTTGTGTTGTCTTCTCAGTATTGGAGTCCTTAAAGCACATTTGTACTGCTTTTCTTCAGGGTTGGGGCGATTGTAGATAAACGGACATCTAGCATCCATTTCTACCGTCATTGCATGATTTGGAGCTTTGCCCCTAGTTGCGACCATATGACACTAACGGGCCACGGACTGATCACCACAAACCGCTCCCATGCCATTGTCCGTTTCAAACTTCATTAGAAGGTGCTAGGTTGAGATGAGGCACAAATAGTGTTAAGCAACGATCACCCGATGATGCCCTTGCATGCCGATGGGACATAGCGTTCAGAAAACCTCCTATATATTTTGAAGTTGACATAACTATCAATAGTTTATATTGATCTTAATTAATAAATGCAAGAAGTGTTTATATTTTAGGCAATATTCATGTTGAAATAATTTTCTTATGAACGAAAGATCTTCCGAACAAGTCTTGAACGGATTTTTTATTGACTTGAAAGCATCAAGATCTTATGTCTACAGAATCTACGTCATTATCGGTGTAAAAGTATCTTGGAAAGAATAGTTGATAATGTCCAAGAATCCAGAAGCAACATATTATGTAAAAATCAGCAAGGCAACTGGATGAATATTAGCATGGCTACTAAGTGGATATTAGTAGACAATGCTAGAGCAAACGCTTGATATCATTAGAACAAGCTGAATATTAGCAGAACATCTATTCTACTTGCAACGAGATTCTTATCACGAACTTCAAGATTATCATTTTGAGTTAGTTAATCTCGTTCTTTATAGCTAGTGATATGATATGGATTCCCACTTTATAAGATCTTGATTGATTATCAATTTTAAAGATTATCTTCGCAGAATAATCAATCATGCAAGATATCTTGGTTGATTGACAATCATCCGGAAAGCAAGATTACGACCATAGATGAAGACCTCCACTTTTGGAAACAAAGATTTGGTTGTTTAGGTAGCTAAAATGGCGGGATCTCTGATTGTTCAACATTAACGGCTACCTAATCTTCTCAACTATTGTCCAACGGGTAAATTGGAAATTGATCCTCGAAGATAGTCCAATGGAAGTTCGGATATTTAAGAGTTTAAAAGAAGACCAAGGCATCGAAGAGCAGGATAGATCAAGAGTCTATAGATCACGTACTTTAAATTGTCTTTTGAGAGTATATTATTGTAATCTCTTCAGATGTGTGAACAGTGTTACTAATGTGTATTTAGGTGTAAGACAGTGAGACCTATCAGCTTGAATATTAGTAGTACCTACTTTGTGAAGAAGTGCTTGAATATTAGCAGGCACATAAAACTGTAATTTCTCATTGACTATAGTGGAATCCAGCCACTAGGCTATTATCTCTCAACTCGTACTAAATTATTGCTTTATAGAAACATTGCACTCGATAATCTGAATATTACTAGGATTTGATCATATTAATAGTTTGCTTTATTTGTACTTGGTTATATTCACCTTGAATTCTTTCAATTCCGCAATATTTGTTAAGATCCCATGAAATCACTTATTCACCCCCATTTAGGTGATATTGTTAGCCTACTTCACATAGTCACTAAAAAGTCAGTCCATCGGCAAATTTGCCTTGGGGTTGACCCAATAGCAACACGAAGTCAAACTAGGCCTTCTGTCTTGTTGAGGCGTGGTTTATACTCCTCATCGATAGGAAAACATAGGGACACCACCCCCGCGACATCAGAGGGCTTTTATAGTTTAGGCTCGTATGTTATTGGTAATTTAGGCTTTGGCCTATGAATAGCTACTGAGTATATATAATTTATTTCTCTTGTAATTGAGAGTTACAATAGAGAGGTGGGAGGTGCTAATTATAATCATTTGCTAGATGTAACCCTAGTTTAAAGGTGAATCGGGATAAAACCTTATGTCTCGACTTCTTTTCCTCGTCTTTACTCCCCATTTCGTTGTGTCTGTGTGACTAATCCTAACAGACTTTTGACTGCCTCACTAGAGAATCTACACAATGGGCTTTCGTTCAGTCTTAGTTGTTCCTAATGTCCGCTTGTCTTCTTGAAAGCGTCTAAATATAAGACACGTGTTGAGCTACCATTTTCTGCTAAAAGGCCTCTAACTACATACTCAGCTATCAAAGCGCAGATGACAAGAGCGTCATCATCGGGAATTTGCATACCTTTCAAATCATCATCAGCAAAGGTGATTTCGAATGTGGAACGAAGTCTTTTGCCTTACCACCCACCAGCAATTGAATGACCTCCTCTACCCGACGGGACAGTGCCACTAAGATTCACCATCGGCCCTTCGCTCATGGCTCTATTCCGCATGAAGGTAGGGTGTTACGGCTAGTGCTATCACCTAAAGGGGGGTGAATAGGTGATTTTACAAAAATTGTATGATTTAAACGTGCGGAATGAATATAGTCTAGGTCAACAACTCATATGATCAATATCAAATGAATTCGTATAACAAACTTGTATATAAATTGTTGTCAGATGATTGCGTCTGATGATTAAGACGATATTCTGATGAACTTATTTGACAGATATGTATACAGTATAATGTCAGCAATAATAAATAAAAGTTTAGGGATAGAGAATACTGCACACAGATCTTTATAGTGGTTCGGCTTTATTGAGCCTACGTCCACTCTCCACACTGGCAGCCCGTTGGCTGTATTTCACTATTGAATCACAGGAAGATTACAAGAGCTATGCTTCTCAGATGATAGATAACACTATCACATACACTCTTCACTCAAGTAATTTTTTTTCAAAAAAAAAAAAACACAACGTGACAAACAGTATCACAAGTGTGTAAGATCGAAGCTCTATTCAAACTTTAGAATTCTTGATTCTGGTTCATATTTCTTGTACGACGTTTGCACTCCTTTTATACTCCTCTACTTCCAATCTATCCGTTGGACAGTCTTCAAAGGATTGATCTCCAAATCTACCCGTTGGAGATTCTTCCCAAAATAGGATGCATAGCCGTTGGAAGAAGAACCATTATCTCCGAGTGATTTGATCGCCCATACAATCAAATCAAGGTTTCCATAAGTGTAGTTCTTTGTATTTGAGGAACGATCTTGTGATTACCAATTTGGATATCTTAAAGTATCAATTTGATTATTCTGCATAAACATGCCAAAAATAATATTAATTGAATCTGACGAGTAATTTGAGTCTAACGATAAAGTCCTTTCATCGACTAAGTCTCATGACTGCATTCACCTGCATCAAATAACTTAAGTGTAATTCTGATCAGTAATAGATTGTTTTGTCATTCCTCAAAACTCATTAGGGATTTTGCTCAACAATCTCCCTCTTTTTTATGATGACAAAACTATCTATATGTGATGTAAACAATTAGAATATAGTCTATTCAGATGATATAACTTTCGAAGCATATTAAACATTGTTAAGCTTTGAAATATGACAGTGTATAGCAGTTCATATTCTGCCACTCCCATACTTCATATTACTTGCATTCACATCCATTCTTTATAATACTTCTCCCCCTTTTTGACATCAGCAGAAAGGATAAACATCATAATTAATATAATAAGAGAGCAGTATTCAAAGTTCACATAATAACCAAAAGTCAAACAACCATTGCAAAAGTCTCATAAAGTCAAACACATAAGTAAGATCAACAAAGAGTTTAGAAATGGTAATTTCGAAATGAATGAGATCAATTTTGCTGATTTTCTGGAGGAGCTGAGGGTCTGGCAGGTTCAGATGATGAAGTTCCAAATGGTGCAGAAAGGAAAGGTACTTGGACAAGATGGAAACTAGAGATTTGATTTAATCGTTGCTCAATGTGTGAGGAGAGCTGATGAATCTGGCCTGCAGTGTTAATACCTGCAATTTGTATATCAGTTCTAACTTGAGCCTTTAAATTGTTGAATCTGGCTGCCATCAAGTCCTTGATTTCCTGAATTCCCTCTTTGAGTTCATTGCGAAGTTCCCGAACTTCATTCTGAACTGTGGCTTGTCTCCATCTTAGATCAGTAATGGCTGCATGGTCTGACATGGAAGAGGAGATGTTGTATCCAGAAGAAGTATGAGTGGTCTGAACATGAATAAAAGCTGCTTCCTTCCCTTTGCCTCTTGATGGAGCTTCAGATGGACTGTTTTCACAGTTAGTGCCTTCAAGAGGAAAGTCTACAGAAGTTGCTACTGAAGGAGCTGCGTCTTTTGCATTCTAATCATGGTCATTGTTCTTAACATCTGGAGCAGTGTCTTCTTCAAACTCCTCCTGCATGTTATCATATTGAGCATCTTCTTCTTCAAACTCTTCCTGCATGTTATCATCTTCAGCATTTGCTTGTTGAAACTCCTCATGCATTTCTGCTTCATGTTCAAACTCCCCCTGTCTTCTAGAGGTTTCTTTCTCAACACCTTTCTCAGCAGTGGCCATTTTCTCTTGCTGATTTTCCATGACTACTTTGTTGATGATGTCACTAAGTGAATTCATCAAATGGTCCTCCTCTTCTTGCAGTCTCTGAATTTCAAGCTGAGTGGCAGCATGTCTGTCTGCACGAGCTTTGTACTTGGCATCTTGAATAATTAGCCATTGCATAAACCTTGACTCCTCAAGGCTTCTTTCATCAGCTTGAGACCGTTCAGCAGATTGGTCATCAGAAATCTGCATTTCATTAGAATCACTGGCATGGCTTGAGTTCTTTTGGCTGGTCTGTCAGTTCTGGAGACTGTCGGCTGCACTTTCCTTTTTCTTACTAAGGGTTCAATTGATTCCTCCTCATCAGAATCATGAAAAATATTGACAGAGCCCTTGTGTTGTGCACTCATCAATTCTGCAGGAATAACCTTACCCCTCTTATCCTTCCAATTTTCACCATCAAATTTGTATCCCATTTTTGTCATCATAAGTTCTCCAACGGTCATAGTTTGAAGAGGTTTACCTTTGAGTTTTGTTGGAATGGAAATTTTCAAATACTCAAAGATAGCGGTGATCAAAGCTCCATAAGGGAGTTGACATTTACTCTTCTTAACTGTTCTATACATTTGAAGGAGAATCATATGTGATAGAGAAATAGTAAAGGAAATTTGAATTGCCTAAATCAACTTGGCCTCATAGCGAGAGACATCAGTTTTGGAAGACCCTTTGGGTCTGAGATAATTGATTATGATTTTGTGTAGGACAATTGAATTTAGAGGAAAAATAGAGTGAGATATATGAGATGTGGAGCCTCTGATGAAAGAAGAGTCACCAGACAGAGATTGATATGCCAAATCTGAAGTAATAGGAATAAGAGAGAATTCTGTATGTTTTACTCCTAGAATAGCATCGAGATCAAAGGCTGATAACTTGTAATCTTGTTGAAAGACAGAGAACTCAATTTCAGAAGAAGAAATGAATGACAGATTTGAATAAAAGTAAGCCGTAAGTTTTGGGTAGACTTTGTGAGGGAGAGAGCACATTCTTTGAAAATCAAGATGTTCAATCAGACGCTGAATTTTGATATTGAAATTTTCAAAGAAGCTGAAGTCTACAACTCTGTTATTCATTATTCCTCTTGTTAGGAGAGAGTTGTAAGCAACTTGATGAGTTTTGTTTCTAAACAAGTTATCACTTTTCTTATCATTAGCATGAATTCCAGAAATAGGCAAAAACTCAGCAAATAGTTTTTCATCATTATTCTCCTTCCTACTATCAATGTTTCTACTTTTCTTCAAAGTCTGCCGTTCCTCTTCACCAACGAATTCTTCTCTTTCGACATTCGAAAGTTCTCCGACTTTCTCTTTTCCTTTTCGAGAAACTCCTTTCTTGACAGTCACAGGGGTTTCCTGTACATTAGAGGATTCTTTAAGAACTATCCCTTTCTCAGCAACAGGCGTTCTTCCAAGCCTTATACCCTTCTCATATTCCTCCATAACTTCATGCTCAGACAGAAAACCTAAGGTTTTACATACGGCATTTACCGTACTCTGGTCACTCCGATTTTCTCGAAGAAGTCTAAGGGTTTTTACCAGTTGTCTTGCCATAACAAAACGATCACGTTCTTGAATAGGTATACGTGGAGATTTGTTACCTGCAAAAGACTCTTGCTCTAAGCCCGAGTCAGATATATCGATTTTCTCTGCTTCTCCACCTTTGTCTGCTCTGGTAAACATTCTCGCGATTCTATCCGATCGTCTGGAACCTTTGACTCCTTTCTTTGATTTGGTGGTCGATTTCGGTGCCATTGAGGATATTTTTGAGTTTCCGAAATGAAAGATAAGATCTTGTAGGGTAAATCGTGGTTTTGGAGATCGTTAGGGTTTCAGAGAATGGAATAAGTGTTCGGAGAAAGAGTGTGAGAGTGCGAGAGAAGATAAAAAGGTTTTAAACCGAGTAGTACTATATATCGGTTTTTATAAAACCTTTTTTGGAAACTATCAATTGACAATTATGGAAATTTCGGAAATTATATTCCGAAAATTTTGGAATTATAATCCTCAAACGATATCAATCAAGACAACTAATATATGAGATATTCAAACAATTACGATATTTAAAATATATGAGATATAGATACCTTTTATAAGATGAGTTGCGCGCCAAAATCAAACACTTCAAATATATGTTTGAACAAATAGTCATCAGATGCAATAAGAGTTTGTTCTGTATATCTCAATAAAGTGGGTTAATGATATTTAATTTATCTCTAATAAGCTCAAAACTTTTCTTCTCTAAAGGTTTTGTAAAGATATCAACTAATTGCTGTTTAGTGTCTATAAATTGAACAATTATATCTCCTTTTAAAACATGATTACGGATAAAATGGTGCTTAATATCAATATGCTTAGCTTTGAAATGCAGAATAGGATTCTTGGTTAGATTGATGGCACTGGTATTGTCATACTTGATCTCCACAGTTGAGTCTTTGACATTGAAGTATTTCAATTGTTGTTTCATCCAAAGAATTTGGGCACAGCAACTACCAAGTGAGACATATTCTGCTTTTGCTGTTGAAAGAGCTACAGTTTGTTGCTTCTTTGAATACCATGAAACAAGCATGCGTCCTAATAATTGACACATTCCTGAGGTGCTTTTCCTGTCTAATTTGCATCCAGCATAGTCAGCATTGGAATATCCAATAAGACTAAAGTTTGATCCTTTAGGATACCACAACCCAAGTGTAAGATTGGTGCTAACATATTTGATAATTCTTTTAACTGTAGTAAGATGAGATTCTTTTGGTTCTGATTGAAATCTTGCACACAAACAAACACTGAACAGAATATCTGGTCATGAGGCAGTTAAATATAAGAGAGAACCAATCATGCTTCTATATAATTTTTTATCTACTGGTTTTCTTTTTTCATCCTTGTCTAATTTAATGGAATACGACATTGGAGTATCAATCTTTTTGCAATTTAATAAACCAAACTTTTTCATAATTTCTCTGGCATACTTTTCTTGACAAAGAAAGGTGCCATTTTTGGTTTGCTTAATCTGTAATCCAAGGAAGAAAGTTAATTCTCCCATCATACTCATTTCAAATTCACTTTGCATCATTTTAGAGAAATTTTTACATAATTTTTCATCTGTAGAACCAAAAATGATATCATCTACATAGATTTGAACAATTAAAATATCTTTACCTTTTCTTTTGATGAATAGGGTAGTGTCTACATTACCTTTTGTGAAACCATTTTGTTCCAGAAAGCTGCTTAGTCTTTCGTACCAAGCACGTGGTGCTTGTTTGAGACCATATAATGCTTTCTTGAGAGTATATACCTGATCAGACTTTTGAGGATCTTCAAAACCAGGAGGTTGTTCTACATATACCTCCTTTTTGATGTAGCCATTTAAGAATGCGCTTTTTACGTTCATCTGAAATAATTTAAAATCACAGAAACAAGCATAAGCCAATAATATTCTTATTGCTTCTAACCTGGCCACGGGAGCATAGATTTATCGTAATCAATTCATTCGTCTTGTGAATATCCTTTGGCCACAAGTCTTGCTTTGTTTCTGACGACTTTTCCTTGATCATCCAGTTTATTTCGAAATACCCATTTTGTTCCGATAACTGAATGATTTTTGGGTTTAGGAACAAGTTCCCATACTTGATTGATCTGGAATTGTAAAAGTTCCTCTTGCATAGCTTCAATCAAGCTTTCATCTTTCAATACATTTTCAACATTCTTTGGTTCAACTTCAGAGATGAGAGCCATTGTATTTATGACTTCTTTTGCTTTTGCTCTTGTTTTGATTCCATCATCCAAATTTCCAATGATAAGATCCTTGGGATGGCTGGATTTTTGTTTCCAGTTTCTGTTGAATCTTTCCTTGTTTTCATCATGGAGATTTGATGATTCTTCATTGTCTTGTTGGTTTGATGATTTCTGAACTTCATCAGATCTTTGATTCTGATGATTTTCACTTGGCGTTAATTCATCAGATGCTATGTCCTGTTCTTCAGATTCACTATCAGAATTATCTTGTTGAGTTTGAATTGAGTCTTCAAACTTGACATTTAGTGATTCTTTCACTGTTTGAGTATTTTTATTATATACTTTGTAGGCCTTGCTTGTTGTTGAGTATCCAAGAAATATTCCTTCATCTGACTTTTCATCAAACTTACCAACACGATCATTAGGATTTTTAAGAATAAAACATTTACATCCAAAAATTCGAAAATATGATACATTGGGAATTTTACCTTTAAACAATTCATAAGGAGTCTTTTCAAGAATTTGTCTTGGAAAAATTCTATTTGAAATATAACAAGCTGTTGAAACAGTTTCAGCCCAAAAATATGCTGGAGTTTTGTTTTCAAATAGAAGAGTTCTAGCCATTTTTTGTAAAGTTCTATTCTTTCTTTCAACTACTCCATTTTGTTCAGGAGTATAAGGTGAGGAAAAAATATGTTGAATACCATTTTCATCACAGAAGTAAGTAAAATTTTGATTTTCAAATTCTCTTTCATGATCTGATTTAATGCTCGAAATAGTATAACCCTTTTCATTCTGTACTTTTTGGCAAACTTTGAGAAAAATTCAAATGTTTCACTTTTATGAGCCAAAAAGAATACCCAAGTATATCTTGAATAATCGTCTACAATAACTAAACAGTATTTCTTACCTCCAAGACTTAGAGTTTGAGTAGGTCCGAAAATGTCCATACGAAGCAACTGCAAGGCTCGGTTAGTGCTTACATAATTTATAGATTTGAATGAACTTCTTACCTGCTTACATTTGGAGCAAGCTGAACATAATTTTGTGCTTTTAAAATTTCGTTCTGACAATCCTTTGACAAGTTTCTTGGAAGCTATTTTGGAAATTAATTTGACACTTACGTGTCTGAGCTTCCTGTGCCACTGATCAGATTCATCTTTTATGAAAACGAGACATTGCAAGTCATCAGATTTTGTGTCTAGTAGGTAGATGTTTCCATGTCTTCGACCCGTAAATGCTTGCTTGTTGTCCTTACTTATCCCAGAGCATTTGTTTTCTTGGAAAGTAATTCTGTAACCAATATCACATAATTGACTAATGCTAATTAAATTAAAATTCAAACCTTTAACAAGTGAGACTTCATTGATGATGAGATTGTCAATTCTGACTGTTCCTTTGCTAATTATTTTTCCTTTGTTGTTGT